TTATATGTATAGAGTAATGTATGTACATGTAAATATCCTAAGCAATATTTATCGGTGATGGGCGTTTTGGTAACAGGGGGTAGGCCCAAATAAGCTGTTCCAGCTTCTGCCAACTCCATTTTGGGCTATTGCAGGGGTCACCAACGCAGTGCCCGCGGGCACCAGGTCGCCCGCAAGGACCAGGTCGCCCGCAAGGACCAGATGAGTCGCCCGCTGGCCTGTTCTAAAAATAGCTCAAATGGCAGCACTTACCAGTGCTATTCTTGTTTAAATCATACTTACATGCAACTTACAAATGGCATATAAACTAGAGCCGGGACTTTAACAAGTTAATAAAGATTAATTAATTACACACAAAAAAGCGCGTTAAAAAATTACGCATTTTAATTGTATGTATTTTTGCACCGCGGAACGTTCCTCACTGAATAAGTTTCAGACGGACCAATTGAACTGACGCACCAACCGGAGCTCCGTGACTTTTCTTGTTCAAAAGTACATTATTACAAGCAGAGACCAACTTTAAATTCGACTAAATTAGACGGGAATGAGCGCTGTGTATGGAGCGATGGACTCTGTGTGTGAGGAGGAGGAGCAGTGACTCCTGTGTGAGCGGAGGAGGAGGAGGAGGAGAAGGAGGAGCGAGACACAGGTGTGTGAGCTGCTAATGCTGATGTTTACTCCGAATGCACACATCAAAAACGTATTATAAAAGCTTTAGCAAACAGCGCATGCCCAGCTTTAGTGCTCACAGCGTGTGCAGTGGATTTTGGACTTAAAAAGAGTATGTTGTCGTCAGAGTGTGGAGGCAATGACAGAAACGTTATTTGATGTTTAGAAGTTATCCCTTAAACTCCATATTAACATGTGTTGCTTAAGCCTCATGTATTCAGTCATTATTCAATGGTAAACTAAAAATCCATGTGAAAAAAATTACTTCTCACTGTTCTCAGGTCAAATATTTATATGCGATTAAAATGTGATTAATTGCGATTAAATGGGACTGTCTTAGAAGTGATCATTTGTTAAATTTGAAAAATGTGCACTTAGAGAAAATATAAAAGTTTTTCCACAAAATAAATATCATTAATTATTAGTAACAACATAGAATTAAAGGTAAATTGAGCAAATTGGCCATATCTGGCAATTTATTTAAGTGTGTAACAAACTGGTAGCCCTTCGCATTAATCAGTACCCAAGAAGTAGCTCTTGGTTTCAAAAAGGTTGGTGACCCCTGGGCTATTGTATTTTCTGTGCTTCTCTTTTGTATGATTGTTTTAGTATCTTCCAGATGCCCAAATAAACACTACTACTACTACTTTTCCCACTCAAAACTGGAGAAAGGGCAGGCTCCTTTTGTGGCACCGGCACCTGCCACAGCTGATCAGTGGCATGTACACAACAAGTGGCGTTTAAAACGGCATGTGGGGAATAAATGGCGTGTAAAGCGGCATGTGGGCAATAAATGGCGTTTACAACGGCATGTGGGGAATAAATGGTGTGTAAAGCGGCATGTGGGCAATAAATGCCGTTTACAACGGCATGTGGGGAATAAATGGCGTTTAAAACGGCATGTGGACAACAAGTGGCGTGTAAAGCGGCATGTGGACAACAAGTGGCGTTTAAAACGGCATGTGGGGAATAAATGGCGTGTAAAGCGGCATGTGGGCAATAAATGGCGTTTACAACGGCATGTGGGGAATAAATGGCGTTTAAAACGGCATGTGGACAACAAGTGGCGTTTAAAACGGTATGTGGACAACAAGTGGCGTTTAAAACGGCATGTGGACAACAAGTGGCGTGTAAAGCGGCATGTGGACAACAACAAGTGGCGTTTTAAAACGGCATGTGGACAACAAGTGGCGTGTAAAGCGGCATGTGGACAACAAGTGGCGTTTAAAACGGCATGTGGGGAATACAATGGCGTGTAAAGCGGCATGTGGACAACAAATGGCGTTTAAAACGGCATGTAAGGGGAATAAATGGCGTGTAAAGCGGCATGTGGACAACAAGTGGCGTTTAAAACGGCATGTGGGGAACAAATGCCGTTTAAAACGGCATGTGGGCAATAAATGGCGTTTAAAACGGCATGTGGGGAATAAATAGCGTGTAAAACAAATACATTGAAAGCAGCCTGTACAAAAGACAACAAGCAGCAGTATTAGAGATAGTGGTCCAGTGGCTCAGATGGAAAAGCACAGGTCTACGGTGTTGATGGTTGCTAGTTCAAATCCCCAGTGACTACCAATGACATTTGGCTGATGTTGGGTCCTTGGGCATAACACTTCATGGAGAATGTCAGAAGTGCCATAAGTTGTTTGAAAAATGTAGTTTGAGTTATAATAAATTAAATTTAAAATTTGTTGAATTGTTGTTATTAACGCGTTAACGCAAATCAATATTAACGCCGTCATTTTTTTTATCGCGCGATAAAAAAAAAAAAAAAAAAAAAAAAGATTTTTTTTTTTTTTTACTTTTTATTGCAGACAAACACATAGAAACAAAGAAAAGGACTAGTTCAGATACATTGTAGACAGAGATTACAAACAATATGTAGTTGGAGATACAGGGGGCCAAAGAAGAAACCCAGAAGGGCACATAGGAGGGGGGGGGGGGGGGGGGGGGGGGGGGGGGGGGGGGGGGGGGGGGGGGGGGGGGGGGGGGGGGGGGGGGGGGGGGGGGGGGGGGGGGGGGGGACATGAAGTGGGAGATGGGGGGAGGGGTTAATAAAAAAGGCAATACAAGCAAACAGTATACAGTCATAGATATACCGAAGGTAAACAGAGAAACAGCATAGAGTATTTACATGAACAAATTTACAAAATATTTACAGATTGTTTATCATCATCATAATGACACCATGATGTTTCTATACAGTCTATGGTCTATACCCACACATACACACACACACACACACACACATTGAAGGGGCTTTTTGTTACCAATTATTTATTTTGTCATCCATTTATTGATGATTTTGCATCAAATGTTAGTGTGTAATATAACACTACACATTGTTTTCAATAAAAAAAGCAATTGCACACAGCACGCAAATGTGTGACTAATAAGCGATTAATCGCGAGTTAACTATGAAATTCATGCGATTAATCGCGATTAAATATTTTAATCGTTGGACAGCACTAGAATATATATTTCATACATATGGTTATGTGTGGTTCCAATAGTAATCTTGCATTAGGATTAATATTGCATCATCGTTAGGGTAAAACTAAATGATGTGTAAAACACTCAAGACACAATTTTACTTAAAACCACCTGGTGAGTGGTATAGTTGGTGTGTGTCCGCCAATCATGCAAGAGTTCGCAGATTCAAATCCGGCCAAGATCAAAAACTTTTTTATGACGGTTATTTCTTTATACATATATATATCTATAAATATCTATATATATCTTTATATATATACAGTTTTTATATAACTGCCATTAAAAAAAAAACGGTACTTTGATTCGATCTGCCAATCTTACGCACTATGGACGAATGTTTAATGACTGCGCCACTTATTTTGTGTTTTGGCAAAGACAAAAACAAAAGATTCTATTGTTGTTTTAGGACATTTCATCAAGAATGGAGCCAACCAAAGATGGTGAAGAGTGATGGATTGAAAAACACAAGCAGAAAGTTGTGTAATTGGAACATGAGGTTTCATCTCTATATTGTTAAAATCTTCATTTCTGTTCTTGGACCGTTTAAGCTGTCTTATACTTTGCATTCTTTAAAAAAAAATATATGTATTAATGCTCTTTCTTATTGTTCCATGTTTCTGATGTGGTTTTATTAAAGAAGAGAGAGAAATAAAATGATTTTTTCTTTTGTTTTATTTATATATATATATATATATATATATATATATATTATATATATATATAATTGTCATACATATTAAATTTGTATTTAATCTGACAAAGAAAAAAATAATGACCTGTCCTGGATTTGAACCAGGTATCTTCCGCATGAGAGACAGTTATAAACCAAGTGCGCCACTGGATGAATCAGCTCATGTGCAATTTAAACTATATATAATACATGAAATTAAGTCTTTCAACAAATTTATGCAATAACATATATTATTATTACTCAAACAACATTTTTCAAACAATTTATGGCACTGCTGACATTCTTCATGAAGTGTTAGGCCCAAGGACCCAACATCAGAAAATGTCATTGGTAGTCACTGGGGATTTGAACCAGCAACCATCAACACCGTAGACCTGTGCTTTTCCATCTGAGCCACTGGACCACTAGCTCCAGTAATGCTGCTTGTTGTCTTTTGTAACAGGCTGCTTTCAACTGTATTTGTTGCCCACATGCCGTTTTAAACGCCACTTGTTGTCCACATGCCGTTTTAAACGGCATTCATTGGCCCACATGCCGCTTTACACGCCATTTATTCCCCACATGCCGTTTTAAACGCCACTTGTTGTCCACATGCCGCTTTACACGCCATTTATTCCCCACATGCCGTTTTAAACGCCACTTGTTGTCTACATGCCGTTTTAAACGGCATTCATTGCCCACATGCCGCTTTACACGCCATTTATTCCCCACATGCCGTTGTAAACGGCATTTATTGCCCACATGCCGCTTTACACGCCATTTATTCCCCACATGCCGTTTTAAACGCCACTTGTTGTCCACATGCCGCTTTACACGCCATTTATTCCCCACATGCCGTTTTAAACGCCACTTGTTGTCCACATGCCGTTTTAAACGCCATTTGTTGTGTACATGCCACTAATCAGCTGTGGCAGGTGCCGGTGCCACAAAAGGAGCCTGCCCTTACTGCAAAACTGTTTATTTCTATATAGAATTGTTGCAATCAGATGAATAAATCTAATACATTTAGACATAATATCTAATCAGTCTGCAGTGCAGCCTCTCTCTGGTCTCTCTCTCTCTCTGGTCTCTCCAGGTCTGTTTTGGTGAGTAAAATGTTGAAAAATCTCAAAAGCAGTTGTAAATCTGATGTTGGTGAAAGTCTGACCTCAGTTTTAACGAAAAGGAGCATCCCAATCATTGTGAAGAGGCAGAGGTGCAGCGCCAGCAGCAGGATCACACTGGACACAGAACACTCAAATATAAACAAACGTATGACATTACACTGGACACTGACCACTCAGATATAAAGACAACAACCTGCTATCAGGAGGGTGACATCACCACCGTTTGACATCACCACTGTGTTTCCCTTAACAAATTGACTGCCAGCCGTTTTTTGATAATTTCACTGATTTTCAAGACCCACAGAGTATTGTGTGCTATGTGAAACAAGATTTTGAAATGGCTTTTTCCTGATGACTGTCTTCTTTCATCAGCAAAAATAAGTTTGTTTCCTGTAATCCCCAGTCGAATAGAGGGAAGTTTGACAGAAATCACCAGTCTCAGAAAAAAAACTGAGAAAATGAGGTGTGTGAAAACAGACGAACCATGCAGAAAAGGGATTTTAAAGTAGCAGTATGTAAGATTTGCATGTCATGTCATCATTGAATGAACCTTATATGTCAAAATGCATTAATAAACCATGATCTTTTCAAATACTTCTTTAACTAATAACAGTAGTTAAGCAGAGATATGCGAAATAGAGTGCAGCACTGCCCCACTAGTGGGGTCAAAAATCAGTGGAGGGAAGAGAGGATAGACAACATGTACATACAATATAATAATAACGATAGCGAGCGACAGCATTTTTCTGCTTGATATGTTACGGTTTACAAGAAGCTAGTTTTCTGTTTTCTGGACAGCAACAGGTGTTTTGATTGAAACTATATTTTGTTCTATGACCAATTGCTCAAGAACAGTAAAAGGTAATAATAATAATAATGCATTGGTTTTATATAGCGCTTTTTTGGACACTCAAAGACGCTTCACATGTCATTATTCATTTACTCCATACACGGTGGTGATAAACTACTACTGTAGCCACAGCCCTGGGGCACACTGACAAAAGCGTGGCAACTAGTATGTGCCATCAGCCCCTCCGACCACCACCAACCATTAGCACACTCATTTTAGGCAATGGGGCTGAAGTGTCTAGCCTAAGGACACAACGGCAGTTTGGCACTTTAGTGTTCCCAGAGGACATAACGACAGCCGACATCAGTGGGAGTCAGTGGAGAAGGCCAATGCTCTACCAACTGAGCTACTGTCGTCCGTGATTGCAAGTAAAAACAAACTACTTTCAAAAGACAGAAAAACTGGCCAGTATTCATTCATTAGGTGGTGCTATATCTATGTCAATAACAGTAATACCAAAATTACAACGATAAACACGATAACTGACAATAAACAGCATATTGCACTTTGCATCGGCAAAATTATGCCATAATTCTCTGTAAATGGTTGTTTGAATGGAATGTTAAATGACAACATAGTGTACATACTGTATGTACTGTATTTGTTTATAAAACGGCATTAACATTCTGTCTTTCTGTAGTAGACAGTATTTTTTCTAAATTGTATTAAAAGTTGTATTAAAACCTGTAATTTGATAGAAAATTTGAGCTCATTGATTCAGCTGGTGTATGAGTTCAGGCCAGGTTATTATAATAGATTCATGGTTCAGGCCATAAAAAGTGCTGAGTAGAAACTTTGTGTGACGCTCTTTCTCCTAGACCATGCGATTAATGAAAAAAATGAATTAACGTGCGTTAACGCGATAATTTTTACAGCCCTAATTTATACATATACACATATATACATATACAGTATGTGTGCTCCATAACACCTCAGCAGTGCCACAGGTGTATTGCCTCCATGCCACCCCGTATTGAAACATTCATTTCTGCAAAAGGATTCTTGAGCAAGTATTGAGTGCATAACTGAACATAATTATTTGAAGGTTGACATTTTTTCTATTAAAAACACTTTTCTTTTACTGGTCGGATGAAATATGCTAATTTTTTTAGATATGGGTTTTTGGTTTTTCTTTACTTTTTTGCCAAAATCATCAATATTAAAACAATAAAAGGCTTGAACTACTTCAGTTGTATGTAATGAATCTAAAATATATGAAAGTCTACTGTTAATCAGTACATTACAGAAAATAATGAAGTTTATCTCAATATGCAAATTTTTTGATAAGGACCTACAGTATATATATATTTATATTAGGGCCGGGACTTTAACACGTTAATTAAGACTAATTAATTGCAAAAAAGTTAGTGCATACATTTTTTTTACGCATTTTAATTGTATATTTTTTTACTGTAGAATCTCCGCAGGAATAGTGTGTTTGTCCCCGGGAGGGATCTCCGCAGCGCCAGCAACTGGACAACGGTGGAAAAACACGGCGTGTCTCACTTCCTAAGTGGCCACTAGCTTCACCTAGCCGTATTACAACAGCAGTTACAAAAGAAATAAAAATAAGTATGCTAAAAAGTAAGAAAAGTGGGAAGGAGGGGGGGAGCTATGCAACTCCCTCCTTGGCTCCCGCCCGCGCATGCGTAATATGCGTTACTTCTCACTGTTCTCAGGTCAAATATTTATATGCAATTAAAATGCGATTAATTGCTTACAAAGCCTCTAATTAATTAGATTTTTTTTTAATCTAGTCCCAGCCCTAATATATATATATTTGTCTTTATTTGCATTATTTCAAGGTCTGACAACTCATGGCAGATGGCAATGACAATTCAAAACAAGAAAAAAAAGCCAATATTCATTTATTTTTTATCATACAAGCCTCAGTCAAAAAAAAAGTTAAGACAAAAGTAGATGGACAAACAAGAGTATCCAACAGACCAGATAATTCAGCGCAAACTCTTGACGTCACCGACACCTGCCTACACTACAACACCCGCCTTCCCCGCTCGCTGAATGGTTGGATGGGATACAACCGAGGTAACCGCAGCCACAGCCAGACGGAGACGTTCATGTAGGGAAATAATTGACAGGAATTTACGCATAGCTAAGGCCAGGCTATCTACAGCCAAACCCCAAGACATAAATGATACAAGGAACATTGACAGAGAGGAAAATATTTGTTTCCAGTTGACGTATAAATAGGGCAAACTGTGTCATGACACAAACGGTTACTGACTCACTTTTACATGTAAGTCAATGGGAGCCAGAGAGAGTTAGAGGCAAACTTCATCATGAGCACTTTCCAATTGGTCTTCATTGCGCCAGTAGGTTTGCATCATCCATCTTTGTACAGTGTATACCTTATTTTTACAGAAGAATCAAAAATGACAGGAAACTGTTTTTTATTTCCCTTTCAGATTTAAATGTTTAAGAATTTTGCACCTGGCAATTTCCGGCAGCGTCCTCTTGATACATTTGAGAGTTTTCTTCATCAGAGACGAATTCTGCAGCAGGAAAAATGGACGAAATAGTCGGCGCACTCTGAGTCTCTGAACAGAAAATAACAGGGATCAAAGACACGTCACAAACGTCACAAACACACACCTCACAAACACAGGTCACACACACCAAACACAAGTCACCAACACACCTCACAAACAGGTGTCACAAAAACACACACAAACACCCGCGTCACAAACACAGGTCACAATTACTAACTTTGTCACAGTCGTTAGGACTCACCTCATCACAGAACATGCCGATTGTCAACATCCAGTCGATCACGGAGATGCTGATGACCACAGTGTAGCCAATCAGCCATTTGTTCTTTCGGAACTCATCCCAGCCAATCAGATAGCTCTATAAGTCACAGGCAAAGACGCGTGTTACACAATAGACATTGAACCCTGCTGTTTTTGACTTCCGGTTGACGACTGCAGATCAGACCGAGGAGAGAGGATCATTCTACATTCTCAGAATTTTAAAATGGATGCAGCAAAACGCAAACAGGGTTCTGGGACAATCCGTGCGGACCGTGGTTGGCTTTTAGAGTATTCTATGTGAGAAGCTCACGACTAACTACGAGTCCAGGCTGTGGCTAGCAGCTTTGAAGTTGAAAATTTTGCCGAAAAAGTTTATGTTTGCTCTCGTTAAGGTTACAAACAATATCCGGCTGAACACTGACGCAGGCAAAGTCTCAATCTTAATCTTGTTCTCTGAGTGCTGCCTTTGACACTGTCGACCATGAGATCCTCTTACAGAGATTAGAGGACTGGGTTGGAGTCGCTGGCACCGCCCTAAGTTGGTTTAGGTCTTACCTTGAGGACAGGAAGTACTTTGTGGAGATTGGAAACTGTGTCTCAGATCATATGGCCCTGACCTGTGGAGTACCACAGGGGTCGATCCTGGGACCTCTTCTGTTCAATCTCTACATGCTGCCGTTAGGTCAGTTAATACGCAGAAACGAAGTTTCCTATCATAACTATGCAGACGACACTCAGATCTATGTCTCACTGACTGCAGGAGAACATGGACCAGTGGACTCACTCCTTCACTGTACCCAACCGATCAGTGAGTGGATGCAAAACAACTTCCTTCAGCTAAACGCAGACAAAACTGAAATTATTGTCTTTGGTCCCCAGAAACAAAGAGAGAGCGTCATCTGTCACCTACAGTCTCTCCCTAAAACCTTCAAACAAGGTCAGAAATCTAGGCGTAATACTGGACTCAGACTTAAATTTCAATAGCCACATCAAATCAGTAACATCAGCAGCTTTTTACCATCTAAAAAACATTGCCAGGATCAAAAACATAGTGTCTACAGCAGACCTGGAGATTCTTATCCATGCATTTGTCTCCAGTAGGTTAGACTACTGCAAAGGCCTGCTCACAGGTCTGTTCAAACAGGCTGTAAAACAGCTGCAGTACATTCAAAATGCAGCAGCTCGAGTCCTGACTAGAACCAGGAAGTACGACCACATTAGTCCAGTTCTCAGGTCTCTGCACTGGCTTCCTGTGGCTCAGAGAATAGACTTTAAAACAGCTCAAGTCTCTCCATGGCCTCGCACCAAAATATATTAGTGACATGTTAGTCCCATATGAACCAGCCCGGACTCTGAGGAGCACAGGGACTGGACTCCTGTTAGTGCCCAGAGTCAGAACTAAACATGGGGAGGCTGCTTTTCAGATTCATGCTGCTAAAATCTGGAACAGTCTTCCTGAAGATGTGAAACAGGCCTCCTCTCTGACAATGTTTAAAACCAGGTTAAAGACAGTTCTGTTTAACTGTGCATACAACTGAGGGATTTTATATTTGTATCTTTCTTTTTAATGTTCTGTGATTATTTATTTCTTGTTTTGTTCAGCACTTTGAATTGCCTTGTGTATGAATTGTGCTATATAAATAAACTTGCCTTGCCTTGCCTTGCCTTATGTTTGCCCGTATTACTTGGTTGATACTACTGAGGAAAATCCTTTCCTGGAACTTTAGTTGGGATACGAGCAGCTACAGGACGCAGGTGTGAATGTGCTCCTCCAGATGCAGTGTATGCTAACGGGTAACAACGAGGCTCCCATTTTCACAGCAAGTCTCTGTATGTTTAAATGGTTTGCTAGACGTTGTGTAATAGTGTAAAAGCTTGATGCGATTATTATTCTGCTGTGCGTTTGTTACTGTACATTGTAGTCTATACAATAACAGTTTAGCTTAGTTTATTCAGATCCCCATTAGCCACTGAGATGCAATGGCCTTCCTGGGATCTCATCATAATAACATACAGACTCCTACACATTTTTATATATAAATCCTCTTACACATTCACGACAACATGAAAGCTCAATGAGAAATCTATTAAATTATATAAAAAATAATTACAAAGTACCCAACAACACATAGATATATATCTATATACAAATTTGCATAGGAAATAATCAAATTGCATACATTTGTAGAAAAGGAAAAAAATATAATCAACTGCCAGAACCCCGTGGCTTAAGTCCCACTCAAATATACATACTTGTTTTTCTTCTTTAGTTTCAAGTTTACAAATTTTTTATATATTAATATTATATTATGATTATATTTATTTTATTGTGATTTAATGTTCATGTGTGGTGCTTCTGTCTCTCAGAAATTGCTGAAATGAGCAACAAATCTGCGCTGGACCAGATTGATAACAATCCAAAGTGCAAAGACGCTGCAATTCTCAATGGTCAATCACAACTACACATCAGCAAAGACGAACATCGCTGGAGACAAAGCGACACAGACCGATTTTCTTACATTGTTCTTCACTTGGTTATTACACTTACTATTCACTTCAGCAACAACTGGCTTCTTTTTTGAGACTTGTATACTTCATATCTCACTGTTTTGTTGTTAATGCACTGTTATTGATTAGAAATCAATACAGGTCTATTAGGTGACCAAAACTTGTTTCAACAGCTCCCTTCGAGGTTACCATGGTTACCCATGGTTTGTGGAGAAAATCATTAAGACTTTGGCTCCGTCCCAAATTGCGCACTTGGCGCACTTCAAAAGCGCGGGGTTGCTAAGTGCATAGTGTGTCCCAATACTTCCGATGCGCACTTTGAACCGTCCACCCTACGCACTTATCCGCACTTCAGCTAAGGGAGCATCTGTGCGCACTAGGCTAAGGTATAATACCCATATTTCTTGCGGTCGTGACGTCACTGCCACAACAGAGGACAATGGCGACAGAGCTTCAGAGTGTGGCACTTTAGGTCCAAAAAAGTGCTCATTTAAGTGTAAGTACATACATGTTTTCTTTAGCATTGTATTACATGTGTGATAACAGCTTAGGTTTGTGCGGTGATTCAGGAAAAGACGTTACAATAAAGTACAATTAAACTTATTGTAACGTTACTACCGTAGCATAACGGGACATCGTTCGTTGCCTTTCTTTTTACGTTTTCTATTCTCTTTCACAGGGACAAACAAACTTACGTTCACATTCATCCAGAATAGGGCAGCCAAGGAAACCCTTTTTACTGCCTACAGCAGTGGTTCTCAAACTTTTCACACCAAGTGCCCCCTCAGAAAATACTTGCCTCTCCAAGTACCACCACAAATGACCAACACTATACATAGTGCCTAAGTATTGATCAAAAACAAGGCAGGGGTTTAATTCCTAAAGAAGTATATTAAATGTAACATTTTAAACAGTTTCAACAGTAAGAAAAAAAATATAGGGGAAAAAAAACTGTACTTAAATAATGATTCAATTAAAATGTTCAATTCATTGCGAACTGCAAAGCCTCACTGTGAATGATATTCTGGAGTGGAATCTTTGTCCACAGAAGGTTTGGACTCTGGTGCACTCTGGTTTTTAAGGCTTGGTCTGCTGCCCTCTTACATTTGTCGTTTACTCACAGAGACATGTTCATATGGTTTGCCATCGAATGATCTTTTGTTGTTCTCTGTTCCTTTTGTACATGCTGCTCCTTCTACATGGAACGTGTTGCAAAAAGACTGGAAATGATCTGAACTTAAAGGGGCCGTATAATATTGAACGCCCCACTTTTCAGTTTTTTATTTGTTAAAAAAGTTTAAATTATCCAATAATTTTTGTTCCACTTCACGATTGTGTCCCACTTGTTGATTCTTGACAAAAAAAATAATTTTTATATCTTTATGTTTGAAGCCTGAAATGTTGAAAGGTTCAAGGGGGCCGAATACTTTCGCAAGGCACTGTAAGTGCAATAGAATACTGTTGTGTGTCTTTGTGTGTTTGGGCCATGGATGTATTATATTAACTGGATAGGGTATTACTAGCTTGTAGCTGAATAACTCATGTGCTCAGGGGATTCTCGCGGTACTGCAGACTGAACCAGACTAAATTCACGTGGGCTACCCAGAAATTTTCCCCATAGGACTCAATGCATATTAAAACAGCTCAACCTCAGCTGACAGAGAACCTACAGCTTTAATAAAGATAGGATTTTGTGGGGATTTTAGTGTCCCTTATCATCCTGAACTTTTTTTCTTCTTAAATCCTTCGGTTTTGTTTAAATCCACACTTTAGTGCCACAAACTCTACTCCTCTGGCTCTCGCTCTAACTCCCGCTCTGATGAACTGCTCTGATTGGTCAGAGCGCGGCCGAGCCCCTCTGTGCACGTGCGTGAGACCTGGTGTGAGACCCACACACGCGTGTTTGACGCAACGCATTATGGGAGATCATCCACTGCGCAGAACCGGGAGGACCAGACGATGCCCAAATACAGGCGAGTTTCCCAAAGTTCTTTGCGAGTTTCAGGCAACTTCCGCTAATCTTTTCAGCCCCCATGCCGTCACAAAGCGCCACTGAGCTCAACCATTCATTTGAATAGGGCGCCATCTTGAATCGCCGGGGCTTGGTTTGGGCGCGCAAATATTTGCGTTTATGCACACGTTTGTGTGTTTTTGTGTGGTTACATCTACAGAGTGTCGTTCTGTTTAGTCCAGTGAGTGCTGGGACCATAACTGGACTTTACCGCTGGCTCCTGGTGTGGACTCAGTGATAGTTTTAGCAATAGTCCACTTTTCTGTGGCTTTTTTGGGATGCACCGCTGGTCTGCTGTCCTGACCCTCCACATGGTCTGCTGCTCTGACCCTTCACATGGTCTGCTGCCCTGACCCTCCACATGGTCTGCCTGCCCTGACTCTTCACATGGTCTGCTGCTCTGACCCTTCACATGGTCTGCTGCCCTGACCCTCCACATGGTCTGCTGCCCTGACCCTGCCAGTCAGTTCTGGAGACACATTTACTAGTCAAACGGCCTCCAAATGTAGCCTGACCCTGACTATATTACTCCATGTCTGCTTCACCTCTGTCTCTCCTGCTCAGAGTGCTCAGGCAGTGATCTTTGATCAAGCCAGGGAGTTCTGCTGCCACCTGCTGGCTTAATAAAATACTGTCTACAGCCAAACCCCAGACTGTATGATACAGGGGACACAGACTGACAGGAAAAGATTGAATTGAAAAACAATGACTTTCCTGGTTAAATAAAAAAAAAAAAAAAAAAATTGTTTTCCTTTTTATTTTTATTTTTTTAATTGATTCTTTGGCACCCCAAGAGGGCGCTCTGTTAGTACATCAAGGTACCCAACACGAAACCAAACCTTTTTGGTAAAAAAAAAAGAGCCCTGAAAATTATCTGTCTCATTGTTCACAGACAGCAGAGCAGCCGCGTACTTTGCTGCAAAATGGTGGACGCAAAGACAGGCCGGGCATCGGTGACGTCACATGGGAAACTATGTATTGACAAGCCTGTTAAGCCTGGTTCACAAAGAGTCGATTTTAAAATTGTCGGCCGGAGTTCCCTACCTGTGAGATAAAAAAAATTCAAAGGGTGTTGTGTGAGTGAAGAGAGGGTGGGGGAAACTGCAGCAGCAGCGGGTCGCGGGTGACGCGCTTCACCATGGGAGGTGCCACGTCTGCGCAGGACTGCTCACAGCAGCACCATGTTTTGTATTTTTTACTATTTCCATGAACATTTCTTTAAAAATGTATTACAGTATGTGCTGTGTTTGTGTCATGCTCCTAGTGATTAATATATGTCTGTTTGGTTAGAAAATAAAAAATATTTATGAAAATTCTAAAAATCCACAAAGTCATGTGACGTTCATAATATGCTTAATTAGGATGGGTGATTTCTTCTCTACATAACGTTTGGGCCATTCATAATATTTTTCTAATGTACAAGAAAGCCTTTATCTCTTTACCTCTGGCGCATAACGGGTTAATCTAGGCTATTACTCATGAAACTTTTGGTTGCCAATATTCACAGTTTGTTTGAGGAACACAAAGTGAATTTTTGCAATGTAATCTTAATTAAAACTAACTTATTTAGCTATAGTGAGAAATTATTCTCTAGTTTATGGTTGATGCTATTTTCTTTTCTATTTGTCTCTTTTAATCTAAAACTTTGCTTGTGCACCTGAGCAAAGGCATATTTCTAGGTTTGTGGACTTCTGTCCCTTTCTGATGGCTGTAAAGTAATTCTGGTTTTTTAATATTTTTTGCTGCTCTATACAGAGAATAAACATTGTATAGTTATTATTTTAACTCTTATGTTGAAAATGTGTTTATGAAAAACAAAAGAAAGGAAAATTGCTACTTGTAAGTTTAATATTTTCTATTTTTACATCTAGAGAACTCGAGGGTCATGGGAGTTCTCCCAACCTGTCCACTGTGCTTTGTGGATTTGGAGAAGGCGTGCGACTGTGTTCCCGGGGTGTTCCTTTGGGGGGTCCTTCCGGGAGTAACGGGGGTCCGGGGGTCCTTGCTGAGGGCCGTCCGATCCCTGTAGGACGGAGCCAGAGTGTGTTCGCATTTGCCGGCAGTAAGTCAGGACTGTTCCCGGGCATGTGGCCTCCGCCAAGGCTGCCCTTGTCACCGGTTCTGTTCACTGTATATATGGACAGAATTTCTAGGCGCAGCCAGGGGCCGGAGGGGGTCCGGTTCGGGGGAATGTGTGTGGAGCTGATGCCAAGGACCAGCAGCACAAACATGGTCCATGTGGTTTGACTGGAGCCGTGTATTTGCGAGGATTCTTTGGGCTGCGAGACACAGAGGAGCGCGACAGCCCGGTATGTGTGTGTGTACAATACATGTGTGTGTATGTGTGTGTGTGTACAATACATGTATGTGTGTGTGTGTAAATATAAGCTCCAATGTAGTTCTGACCTGCACTAGTGTGGAACTTTGGCGGTAACAGAGGGGAGAGATGATGCGTGTGGATGTTACGTATGGAGGGGGGGAAAGTGTTTGTGTGTGTATGTGTGTGTGTGTGTGCGCGCGCGTGTGGCTGCGTGCATATGTGGAGCGTGCGCCATGAAAGTCGCCCGTAGTCTACTAATGCATTGGCGCACACAGCTAGATACAGACCCGCTCGTCACATCGTGCAAATAGGGCTTAAAATAGCGTTATTAAGAGACCTCCCCTCTCCGCTTTTTCTTATTTTTAACCGACAGCTTTGACCGGTTAACGCTGTGACGGTCAACCACCGGTTAAACGGTCACCGATTTACATCCCTACTTTGGGATAAACGTCCTTTTGAAGAAAGCGTGACATTATGTTTTAGATTGAGTTTTGATGAAACAAGGAAGAGATGTGTTTCGGGTCTCAGATTCTGCCCAATCACAGCGGACCACTAGCCCCCACTTTCGTGAGAAATCTACAGGTCCGTTAGCATCATGGATCTATTATAATAACTGGATATGGTGTTACAGCTTGTAGCTGAATAACTCATGTGCTCGGGGGATTCTCGGAGTACTGCAGACTGAACCAGACTGAACCAGACTAAACCAGACTAAAGTCACGTGGGCTACCAAGACATTTTCCCCATAGAACTCAATGCATATTAAAACAGCTCAACCTCAGCTGACGGAGAACCTGACAGAGAACCTGACAGAGAACCTGTCAGAGAACCTGTCAGAGAACCTGACAGAGAACCTGTCAGAGAACCTGACAGAGAACCTGACAGAGAACCTGTCAGAGAACCTGACAGAGAACCTGTCAGAGAACCTGACAGAGAACCTGACAGAGAACCTGTCAGAGAACCTGACAGAGAACCTGACAGAGAACCTGACAGAGAACCTGTCAGAGAACCTGTCAGAGAACCTGACAGAGAACCTGACAGAGAACCTGACAGAGAACCTGACAGAGAACCTGACAGAGAACCTGACAGAGAACCTGACAGAGAACCTGACAGAGAACCTGACAGAGAACCTGACAGAGAACCTGACAGAGAACCTGACAGAGAACCTGACAGAGAACCTACAGAGAACCTGACAGAGAACCTGACAGAGAACCTGACAGAGAACCTACAGCTTTCATAAAGGTCAGATTTTGTGGGGATGTTAGTGTCCCTTGTCATCCTGAACTTTTTTTCTTCTTAAATCCTTCGGTTTTGTTTAAATCCACACTTTAGTGCCACAAACTCTGCTCCTCTGGCTCTGGCTCTAACTCCCGCTC